GGCGGCCGGCAGTGACTCCTTCTGCCTTCCTGTTTTTTCTTTTCTCCTCTCTGTTAGTCCCGCCTATACTTCCTGCCTAGCCACGGGCCAATCAGTGTTTTATTTATTGACCAATCAGAGCAACACATTTGCCATACAGAACATCCCACAGCACCCAGGCTCACAAAGATCCTCCTGCATGTACCTGCAGAGTGCTGGGATTAAAGGCGTGTGCCATCACACCTGGCAGTTACAACTCATTTGATTCAACCAAAGTAAACTGTCCTGTAACATAAAAATGCAATGTCCTTATGCTTTGTCTAGGTTCCACATGTCACACGTACCACTGTCTCATGTGGTTCTAGTAGGTGTTTTCAGATTCAGTTAGGTGTTTATTTAGATAAACTGTCTGTAGTTGACCTTTGTGGAATAAAACAGATCTTAATAGGCTATACCACAGGCTTCATTTCTTCTGGGTAGGTCATTTAACATACTTCCAGGGCAGCTCACTGGCAATACAACATCTCCCTGGGTAGCTATTGCAAGTTACCACTTTCTAGTAAAATGAAGCTTCTAGAATTCATTGTTTATTCTAGCAGAGTATAAGTTAAAATACTTGTAGAGTAGTTTGGCTAGGAAAAAAACAAAGCTACTTTCACGAGGCATTGCCAAGCATTTACATCAGGCTTGTTTGTTTTTGTTTTGTTTCCCTGCTTAGGACCTGGATGGAAATCTTTTGGACTCCTGGGAGGGGGTGCGAGTGCAATGCCTATGGTGCTTGAGTGATGGGAAGACTGTGCTGGCGTCTGACACACACCAGAGGATCCGGGGCTACAACTTTGAGGACCTTACAGATAGGAACATGTAACTATTATTTTGTTTCCAGTAGAAATGGTCTAATTTAGCAGGGTGCAGTGTCACAGGTCTTTAATCCCAGCACATGGGAGGCAGAGGCCAGCCAATCTGTGAGTTCAAGGCCAGCCAGGGCTACACAGAGAAACTCGGTCTTGAACCCCGCCCCCCCTCCCCCCAAAAAAAGGAAATGGTCTAATTTATACCAAAATATGTATACAGTTGGGCTTTTCCAGAAAAGCAGTTTTGTTTGTTTTTTGTTTTGATTGGTGATTTGAATTGGTGTTCAAGGGGTATTTGTTAACTCATTCTGATTGACATATATAAGGTAAAAATGTCATTTAAGCTATAATAGTTTATAGTCTCTCATAATTTGAAGTTCTTGACTCCTTTGCTGTTCCTGACAAATTATTTCTGATTACAGAGTACAAGAAGATCATCCTATTATGTCATTTACTATTTCAAAAAATGGCCGATTAGCTTTGTTAAATGTAGCAACTCAGGTATGTTTTTTGTTTGTTTGTTTGTTTGTTTGTTTGTTTTACAGCTTTCAGAAAAATTCAGCTTAGTGAAAATTGTTAAATCTAGCTATTAAATATCTGTTTAGTGCTTCAATGTGTAGGAATCAGCTATTGGTTTATTGAAGTACTGGCATTTTGCACAAATAGAAAATAAGAATGTGCCAGTGGACAAAGGAATATTCACAACTTACTGTTAAAGATTCTTTTGAGACTGGGTGTGGCAGCCCACACTTTTAATCCCAGCACTCAGGAGGCGTAAATGGGCAATCTCTCTGAATTTAAGAGCAGTTCCAAGCTGCTGTAGGATGTTCTATATGGCAAATGTGTTGCTCTGATTGGTCAATAAATAAAACACTGGCCAGTGGCTAGGCAGGAAGTATAGGAAGGACTAACAGAGGAGAAAAGAAAGAACAGGAAGGCAGAAAGAGACACTGCCAGCCGCCACCATGACAAGCTGCATGTGAAGATGCGGTAAGCCACGAGCCACGTGGCAAGGTATAGATTTATAGAAATGGATTAATTTAAGCTATAAGAACAGTTAGCAAGAAGCCTGCCATGGCCATACAGTTTGTAAGCAATATAAGTCTCTGTGTTTACTTGGTTGGGTCTGAGCGGCTGTGGGACTGGTGGGTGACAAAGATTTGTCCTGACTGTGGCAAGGCAGGAAAACTCGAGCTACACCAAGCCATTGGGCTAGATCAGCAGGTCTCAACCTGTGGATCAAGACAGTTTTGGAGTTGAACAATCTTTCACACGATTGGCTTAGTAGATATCCTGCATATCAGATTTTACATTACAATTCATAACAGTTGCAAAATTACAGTTAGGAAGTAGCAACAAAAATGATTTTATGGTTGGGGGTCACCACAACATGAGGAACTGGATTAAAAGGTCACAGCATAAGGAAGGTGGGCTAGATTGTCTGTCTTTTAAAAAATAAAACAAAAAACCTACTAAGCTTATTGATGTCATACATGCCTATAACTCTAAAAAATTTGGGAGGGTGGGGCATAATGCCAAACACTTTTAATTCCAGCACTCAGGAGGCAGAGGCAGGTGGATCTCTGAATTCGAGGCCAGCCTGGTCTACACAGTAAGTTCTAGAACAGCCAGCAAGGGCTACACAAAAAAAAGAAAAAAGAAAGAAAGAAAAGAAAAGGGACTTGTGAGGATCTATCAGTTCCAAGCTAGCCTGGAGTATACAGTGAGAGTGTCTTCTTTTTTTTTTTAAAGTCATAGAGGGGAAAGCCGTATCTTTAAAAAAAAAAAAAAATGCAACAAAAACTTCTTTTTCTTTCTTTTTGCCTGCAGGGAGTTCATTTATGGGACTTGCAAGACAGAGTTTTAGTAAGGAAATATCAAGGTGTCACACAAGGTTTTTATACAATTCATTCATGTTTTGGAGGCCATAATGAAGACTTCATCGCTAGTGGCAGTGAAGGTAAGATGTCTGTCACTGCTGGTTCACCTGGACAGGTTAATTTAAAGTATCTGTCACTGCTGGTTCACCTGGACAGGTTAATTTAAAGGTCTATAATACTCTTTATCAGGGTAGCTTATTTTTCAGGAAGCATAAGATAGGAGATTAAATTTTTTTTTTTTTTTGTGGGTTGTTGTCTGATTGTTCTTTATTTTATATCTAGAATTCACTTATGAGTGAGTACATACCATGATTGTCCTTCTGGGTTTGGGTTACCTCACTCAGGATGATTTTTTTCTAGTTCCATCCATTTGCCTGCAAATTTCATGTTTTTCTCTGCTGAGTAGTACTCCATTGTGTATATGTACTACATTTTCTTCACCCATTCTTCAGTTGACGGGCATCTAGGTTGTTTCCATGCTCTGGCTATTACAAATAGTGCTGCTATGAACATAGTTGAGCATGTATCTTTATGTTGTGAATCAGCATTCTTTGGGTATATGCCCAAGAGTGGGATGGCTGGGTCTTGAGGTATTTTGATTCCTAATTTTCTGAGAAACCGACATACTGATTTCCACAGTGGTTGTACAAGTTTACATTCCCACCAACAGTGGAGGAGTGTTCCCTTTGCTCCACATCCTCTCCAACATTGACTGTCATTGGTGTTTTTGATCGTAGCCATTCTGACAGGTGTAAGGTGGTATCTCAGAGTCATTTTGATTTGCATTTCTCTGATGATTAAGGATGTTGAGCATTTCTTTACATGTCTTTCAGCCATTTGTGATTCTTGTTTTGTGAATTCTGTTTAGCTCTTTAGCCCATTTTTTAATTGGACTGTTTAGTATTTTGATGTCTAGTTTCTTGAGTTCTTTATATACTTTGGAGATCAATCCTCTGTCAGATGTGGGGTGAAGATCTTTTTCCATTCTTTTTGTTGTGTTTTTGTCTTATTGACCGTGTCTTTCCCTGCAAAAGCTTCTTAATTTCAAGCGGTCCCAATTATTAATTGTTGTGCTCAGGGTCTGTGCTGTTGGTGTTTTATTTAGGAAATGGTCTCTGGTGCCAATGCGTTCAAGAGTGCTTCTTACTTTCTTTTCAATTAAGTTCAGTGTAACTGGATTTATGTTCAGGTCTTTGATCCACTTGGACTTGAGTTTTGTGCATGGTGACAGATATGGATCTATTTGTTACCTTTTACATATTGAGATCCAGTTATGCCAGCACCATTTGTTGAAGATACTTTCTTTTTTCCATTGTACAGTTTTGGCTCCTTGGTTAAAAACCAGGGTTCATATGGGCATGGATTAATGTCAGGGTCTTCAATTCGATTCCATTAGTCCGTATGTCAGTTTTTATACCAGTACCAAGCTGTTTTTATTACTATAGCTCTATAGTAGAGTTTGAGGTCAGGGATGGTGAGAGATTAAATTTTTTAGTAGTTTATGCCGTATATTCTTAATGTTACCTTTGGGGACTAGCTTAAATCCTGGTGTTGGTTTTGGTTTTGATTGCTTGTTCATTTTCCTGTGTGGTGTTGGGGGGTGGACTCCAGGGGCCTCAAGCCGCTCCTGTTCTATGCTTGAGCCCTTCTCACTGTTTCGGATCAGTGCAGCCTGTCCTAATCATGTGGTAGAAATATGTTGGATGTTTGGATCAAATCAAAAGTTACTGAAGTCATTATACCTTTATAGGACTTGTTTTTTCACAGGACTGATAGTTTTTAAAGATTGGTAAAAGTCAGGCTTGCTGGTCATAGTGGCACACGCCTTTAATCCTAGCACTGGGAGGTGGACCAGAGACAAGTGGATTTCTGTGAATTTGAGGCCAGCCTGGTCTACATAGTTCCTCCAGGACAACCAGGACTGTGTAGAAAGAACCTGTCTCCAAAACCAAAAGTTGGGATTAATTATGATTTATCTGTTTTTTAACACAGTCATTATTTCTACTAAGACTATGGGAAAAGTTGAGTTTGATTATTTTCTTAAGATAGTAAGTATGTATAAGTACCACTTTTTTTTTTTTTTTAATAATTTATTTAAATTTATTTTATGTGCACTGGTGTAAGTAAAGGTGTCAGGTCCCCTGCAACTGGAGTTACAGACAGTTGTGAACTACCATGTGGGTGCTGGGAATTGAACCCAGGTCCTCTGGAAGAGCAGCAGTCAGTGCTCTTAACCACTGAGCCATCTCTCCAGCCCTGTATAAGTACCACTTTTATGCCTGGTAGTTATTAACACAACTGTCCCTTCTACTAAACTTGGTGTGTAGATGAAAAACATCTGTATTTAAACATGTGCCTGAACAGTAGAGAAGTTAGTTTTTCATTATTCCAAGTTATATAGAAAGGTTCTAAAAATGTTTTGAACGCCAGCTATATATAGAAATTTCTCAAGATGGCCACAGTAATTATTCTATTAATTTTTAAGTACTATATTTCAGAAGCCCACTAAATACCCTAAAATATATAGGCAAACTAGGGATTTGGGATTGTGGTAGTTCAGTTGGTATTGTGCTTGTCAGCACACACCCAGTCCTGGGTTCAGTCCCTCACACATAAACCATACTTGGTGGCTCACACCTGTAATCACAGCACTGGGTACAGGTAGGGGGATCAGAAGTTCAGGATCATCCTTTGCTACATAGTGAGGCTGAGACTGCTTGGGCTACAGACTGTCTTTACATAGGCCATTGATTTGCAAGACTGATAGAGCACATAGAACATAGTCAGCATAAACCATATCATTTTGACTTTGATGGCTGCAGATCCTAGTTTTGCTACTTAGCAGCAAATACCTCCTTGAACATGTGTAGACATAAACCAGAATTCACAGAATCCACTCCCCCAAGTTGTGGAATCAGAGGTGTGTATCATCTTCCCACTTTGCAGACCTGTGCTCTTTGACTGAGATACAGCTAATCACCAGGTGGGTGGTCCGTGCCCTTAGTTCTCCCACTTGAAACGTACAGGCAGCACACCCACTCAGGTTTCCACATTGACCCATTATTTAACCAATAGATCGTCATAATAAAGAGCTGATTTATCCTGGGGTTCTGTTGTCATTTTAGAAGTATCATCTACTAATTAGCTTATTCCCAAGCCTTAGTGGATTTGATTTTTTTATGGTCACTTATGATCATCTTCTAGAAGCTCTACAGAATGTGCTTAGTATGAGATGGTTGTCTGCAGTAATCCCTGAGCAGAGCTACAGTTAAGAGGTCTCCCTGCATTGTAGACCTTAGAGGGCTTTAGCCTCTCTGTACTTCAGCTCCTGTCTCTACAGTGTAGGGGGAGCCTAGTACCCACTCCATCAATTACACACAGAGTACTTTGTAAGCTCCCCATGAAGGTTTTACTCTTGCTGTGGTTTTTCAGTTTGGATACCTTGTTTCTCTGTCTTTCTGCAGAATGCATCGGCATCTCTGTACTGGACTAGTTTATGGTCAAATACCTTCATTGTAATTGGAGTTTTTCTGTTAAAGAAATGTATATGTGTATGTCTGTGTGCACACATGAATGTGAATGCAGAGTTCAGAAGAGGGTGCCCACGGTTCTGAGCCCCCTTACATGGGTGCTCGGGAACTGAACCTGGTCCCCTACAAGAGCAATAAACACTCTTAACTGCCGAGCCTTCTTGCCACAGATTCATTAGTCGCATATGGACAGACTATTGCAAGTAGTTGTTTTTGTGCCTTCAGAGCTATTTACTTTGAACAGAGGAAAAAAATTATAATGTATTAACATGGCTTTTCACAAAATTAACTTATTAAACTATTTTTTATTTTTTTCTCCCTTCAAGTTATAATATTGAAGAATCATGTTGGGTGTGTAGTAAATGGTAATTTAGGGTCAGTGATTTTGTTAATAACACAGCTTTCTAGCATTTCTCTGAATTGCTCTAATTTAGATCACAAGGTTTACATCTGGCACAAACGAAGTGAACTGCCGATTGCGGAGCTGACAGGGCACACGCGCACAGTGAATTGTGTTAGCTGGAACCCACAGATGCCATCTATGATGGCCAGTGCCTCAGATGATGGCACTGTGAGAATATGGGGACCAGCACCTTTTATAGACCACCAGAATATTGAAGGTAAGTCATGCACAGCCCTTGTTTTCTCCAGATGAAACATTGCTCTGAGTTAGAATACTTTTAAATAGCAATTTAAATGTGGAATATATTTCACCTATTTCACTTTATGGAAAGAATTAAAAAACCTAAGGTTAGGTTTTATTTGTTTTTTTGGAGAGGCAATGAAGAAAGTAAGCTAGAATGTGCTACCTCATTTACATCAAGTTAACAATAGTACTTTAAAATTTGGGGTTCAGAGATGAATGTGAGGTAAGTGCTTGCCCCATAAGCGAGAGGACTTGAGTTTGGATCCCAGAACCCATGTAATGCTGGTGTAGATGATGTGAGTCTGTAATCTCTTTGCCCTTACGGAACATGGGAGGTGGACACATGGGAGAGTTCCCAGAAGCTGTCAGGCCAGCTAGGCAGACGTGTGCCGCAGAGAACAGGAGAGATTTTTCCAACTCAGTGGAAGACAGAGATGACACCCAGGCTGCCCCCGACCCCAACACCTCTTGCACTTTGCAGGCATGTAATTGCCTGCACATACACACAAATTTTATTAAAATGATGTTTTCTCATGCTGTGTAAATGTGATATTACACGAAACATTTTATATACATGAGAACTAACCAATGTATAAAATTTGAGAAACTTTCATTTTAATGAGCGTCATTTTGGGGTTTTCCTAATATGTTAGCACTGTATATAGCATACTAACATTAACTATGATGAGGGAAAGAGGAAGAAACTAAAATTTCCTATGCTGCCTATGTGCCAAGTAGCATGCTCAGAGTATATTTGCTCTCACATGTGTTCATAGTCTTGTAAGAGAAACATTTTTATTTTCATTTTATAGGGAAGGAACCAAAATATGGCAGACCCCCGTTAACTTGTTGAATGCTGCCATTTCGGCAAGTCTAGGTCTGGAAAGTTTTCCCACCACCTTGATACTTGAAGATGAAGAAAGTCATAAAGCTAACAGATGAGGACAAATTCTTGATTAAATATAATAGTACTAGAGAGAAGTAATAAGAACTTTTATGTAAATATCATTTTTTTTCCTCAAAGAGAACAAGTAAAAATGTCTCGTTTAGAAGGAAATAACTTACTTACAGGTTGTTTTGTTCAGTATGTCCCACCGAAGTGGCTGGTGTTTTTGTTTTGTTTTTCTCGTGTGTGCCTGTGTGCCCATGCTACCCGCTGTGCATGCTGGGAACAGAGTGACAATCCTCTGCAAGAGCTGCAAGTGCTGTTAACTGCTAAAGCCGTCTGTCGTCCGACTTCCCACCTAAATGATTTAGTAAGAAACACGTGGAACAATTCCAACTAATGATTTCCCTGGGAGGGAAGTTAGCTATTTTTTTAAAAAAAAAAACACAAGGATGAGGCCAGGCAGTGGTGGCGCCTGCCTTTAATCCCAGGACTCAGGAGGCAGAGGCAGACAGATCTCTTGAGTTTGAGGCCAGCCTGGTCGGCAGAGTGAATTCCAGGACTACACAAAAAAACCCTGTCTCGAAAAACAAAACAAAACAGCAAAACACAGAGATGAGAATTAACAACTGTTAGAACTACTGCATCAAGTTGCATGGGACCTTGGAGGCCTTTTCTGTTGGTTTTTACTGTCTGATACTCCTGGGAACTCAACCAAGACTTTTAGTTGTCCTAAGTTTCAAGGCCCAGTTTCTAAGATATGGTCTTTGGAGATCTGCATCTGTAATTATCTGTACTTTTATACTTTATTAGTCATTCAGAATGTGATGGGAAGAAGTAGGAAAGGACTGGTCCTACGTAGCAGCTTCATCTCATAAGGGGTACTGTCTTGCAGCACAATGGGCCACGAGTTGTACTTTGCACTTTGTGCCTTTGGTTAATGTGAGTCACTTCAGTGGGTGTGCTGCATACTGGCTCACTTGCAAGATCAGGCCCAATTCAGCAACGTCCATTACGCTACACCAACATAGGGCTGACCCTACAAATACAGTCATTCTCATTTCACATAAAAGAACTACTTTTTGAGGATATCCTGTGGAGTCTTCCCACACATACAATGAAAACATTATTTTTTTAAATAAATTATACCTGCGTAGAATAGGAATTTGAACATATAAGTGTATTAAAGATAACGTTCAAAGACTGTAGCATGAAATTACATATGTCATTTAAATGCTTAATTCAAAACTTTATACATATAAAAAGGTTTTTTATGTACATTTATTGTATACAGGAGGGGGGTGGATACACATGCTCTGTTGAAGTCAGTGGACAGCTTGCTGGAGTTGGTCTCTTTCTTTCATGTGGGTTCTGTTGATTGAACTTAGGTCTTCAAGCCTAGCACCAAGTCTTTTGCCCCATGGTACCATCTTATTTGCCCAACAAATGTATCTTTATGTGTTACCGGTGTTTTGCCTGAATATAAATCTGTACCACATGTGTGGTGCCCACAGAGACCAGAAGAGACCATCTGATTCCCTGGGACTGGAGTTAGAAGCTGCTTTAAAAACCCACCGTGTGTGTTCTGGGAATCGAACCAGGGTCCTCTGCAAGGACAGCCATTGTCTTGTAACTGCTGAGCCATCTCTCTAGCTCCTGGCTTAACAATTTATTTTAAAGAGAAGTTGCTGATCTTTTGTAACGAGTTGCAAGATTGATTGCCTTAGTAACTTTCTGGGTTTTGTGTGGTGGGGGTTATAAAATGGAATAGAATGAAGTATTTATACATGCTATATAAGGTGCATGAACCTTGAAAACAGTATGCTAAATGAAATATATCAGAAACAAAACATACAGACCCACCATATGCTGTGATTACATTTTATATTGAATTGGTCTAAAAATAGGCCAGTCCACAGAGACCAGAGGAGTCGTTTTTATGAGGGTATATGTGATGGCTGAGATGGTGAAGTTGGCCTAAGATTGGGTACTGATTGATGTTGTACAAGCTGTCAGTATACTAAAACTAGTAAGTGTTTTAAATGAGTGTGCGTTTATGGTATGTGAACTCTCTCTCACTAAAGCTCATATATACACCTCTCCCAAGCAGAGCTGGTGAGGCTGTAGACCTCAAGCTTCGGCAGCTGACTGGATTAAATACATAGTTGAGTGTGCAGCTCTGGCTTGTACTACCAGAGTTCTTTCGTCTTTCGTATTGTAAACTAACAAAGATTTTCTTAGTCTAATTGTTTATTTCAAGGTTAATTTTAAAAATAAGGAATTCTGTCAGTCATGGTTATGCACGTTTTTAATCCCAGCACTCTGGAGGCAGAGGCAGGCAGATCTCTGAGTTCATGGCCAGCCAGAGCTACACAGACCCTGTCTCACTGTTGCTCCGCCCCCCAAGTAACATAAAATTAGGAAATTCTAACGTAATTATTCACTTCTTTTCCTACATTATTCAAAGTAATAATGAGGTTATATTATAAAAATATAACCTAAAAAGTTAAGAACTACGAAAATATCAAGAATTTGTTTATTGTCACTTACTCTGCTGTTATGTCCTAATTTCTAACGGTATCTTTTCTTTTTTCTCTGCATATGTTCGTCCTGGCGTCATTCAGAGGAATGCAGTAGCATGGATAGTTGATGGCGAATTGGAGCAGACGACTTCTGTTTAACTTAAAATTAGTCGTATTTTAATGGCTTGGGATTTGGTGCAAACAGACATGATTGATAGCTGGACAGACATGCTCGTCATGAAAAAAGAACCATTTCTGAAGCCCGATTGGGGCCAAACCTTTACACCTTGCTTCATAGTATCCAGTTGATGAAGCTCATCATTAGAACGTTGTTGGACACCATGTTGAATATTCCCCATCGGTTGTGAAGAACTATACTGCATCCAGGCTTACCCATTGAACTCAGTATATATATTTTTTCCCTCCTGCCTTTTGTCTGGTGGGATACCATACTTGTTGCTCTTCTGTGTAATGAAGTTCAAATGCTTGTTTGGAAACTTTATTTAACAGTTTAGAAGGCGTGGTAGGAGGAGTTCATTAGTCTGAAGAGTATACAATGGACAGGAAAGAATTTTCCTTTTGTTTCTCCAAATCTTTCCGCCTTATTTAGCTTGAGATCTTTGCAGCTTGGTTCATGGATCCTAGCCTTGCCCGTTGCGCAGTATATACTGATCAGATGACAAACCAGTGAACTATGTCAAAAGCACTCTCAATATTACATTTGACAAAAAGTTTTGTACTTTTCACATAGCTTGTTGCCCCGTAAAAGGGTTAACAGCACAATTTTTTAAAAATAAATTAAGAAGTATTTATAGGATTAAAGTGACTTCATTTGTATACATTTGGAATCTAAACCAGCTTAAAAAAACAGTTTCCTCTGTGACTCAGATATGCAGTGTAACTGATGCTCTTCTGGGGTACCACCTGAGACATGGCATGGTCAGAAACAGTGCTCAGAAGGACATGGCACAGGAAAGCCAGAGAGATACTCTGAAGTTCCCCCTTCTTATTTTATTCCCGAAGGGACATCAGTATCTGATGTTGAAGAAATTCAAGATTCAAAAGGAGAATTTTATAAATACACCAACATGAAAAATCAGCTATCAGTCTAGGTTTTCACAAAAGCTTGTTCCAAGTTCTTCTGGACTTGGTGTGATCTAGTAAAGTAGAGATCAGAAGATAGACCCACTTGGGGAATTTATAGTGTCGTTGAGACTTAGAATTCAGCAGGTTACAAACATACGTCAACTGGGATTCAAACCTCAGTCATTTCTCCTAATTGCCCTTAATGCCCAACATATAGGGACACTGGAATTTAACAAAGATTCCTTCTCAACTTCTCAGATGTTGCCATACTGAACCTCATTCAAACTGGTGCTGTGGACAGTCTTTCCCTCTCCTCCCCCTTTTAGTTTAAGGGATGGTTTCCTTTATGGAAAAAGGCTCTCATTTTGAAGACTCTACATCTAATGTCTGATGTTCACGGTGTTTTTAAACCCCACAGCTGCTGGGTCTAACAGTCTCTCTTGAAATTCCCTGTTTTTCAGTAGAGGATGATCAGGGTGACCACAGCTATTGGAAAGAGAAGTGGAATTACTCCCAAAGTAATATCCTGGGGAAGAAAAAAAGTCTGGTATCAAGTTGCCCTTGAGGCCAAGCCAAATTCCCAGCATGCTCACCATGATCACACCCCTCATGGCCCGAGAGAGGAGCGAGGCCTGGAGTGTAGGGCGCAGGAGGAGGGATAGCAGCAGGGAGGGGAAGCCAGGAGAAGGAAGAAAAAGAAGACACATTTGGCCTTAAAGTAGAGTTCATTCTCCCAAAGCTCATAGTGAGGAAATGAAAGGTTGTAGTCAGCGATGATTTTATCAAATTGGTGTGTAAAAAGATTACATCAAGCTTCATTTTGCAGAGACCACCACTTTAGAAAACCAGAGAAATCCTGTTTTGATACTTCTAAGTTAAAATAATATGTTACCGTTTATCTGGTACTTCATTTCTTTACTAAATTACTTTTCACTTTAAGCTTGAATAAAAATTTTCATTTGTAACTGTATATAATTAAGTGACAACTCCTCTTTACCTCAGTGCAGTTCACACCGTATTTTGATTGATATACCCTGAAGCCATTAACACATACACCCAGTCTCTACAGTAACAGTCACTCACAAAATAGGGGCATAGAACTCCACGGCTGTTTACAGATGTGGATACATTGTACTGTTTGGTACATATGTAATGTTCCTGAGATTTGTGCCCACTGGGCACAAATTCTACCAGTGTATACCAAGCCACGCCTAGATCTGAGTTTTCACAGTGCTTGTGAAGTACAGTTAAAAACACTTAGAAGTAAAAACATGGACTAAAATGAGGCACACTTTAAAGTGGAGTTACAACTATGCAAAGGTGTTCATAGCAGCTAGGGGAGTAGTTTCCAGGTCTCTCCTAACTGGCAGTTTCCTCTATATGCTGGTACTTCACTGTGCCAATTTGCCGGAAGCATCTGTTTCATAGATTTACCATGAAGTGAGTGTGTTAGAAAGGTGGGAAGGAGGGTGAAGAAACCTAGCTTTTATGATGGAAGAACCTGGTGGCAGGATTTTTCTAACCCATAGCTATTAACTGAAAATTTCGGACAATGTGATAAACATAAAGGCTTAAGAGGGGAAATTCTGTCAAGCCAGCCACAAGATACTAACCAATGTATAAACTGAAAAGTACCAATACTTTTTGCACATAGATCAAAATAGTGGAGAATTTTGGCTCCAAAAATCAGGTTAGTAGGCTCAATTCCGTGTGCTTAAAAATGTTGTTGTTGTTGTTAATGCATTGATTAAGGGCTAGAGCAAGAATGAAATTAAATGTCTTTTTCCTCTAAATAACTGGTTATTAGTGGTGAAGTGTTGGACTGGGGGTCACTGAGGTTGGTGTGTGGGTGGTGAGAAGAGGAGTTAGAGCGGAGTTAGTGGGGGATGGCAAGGCTTCAGGTGTGCGTTTGTATTTTATTAGCATTCGTGCCATAGTAGTTTGTTGCTCTTGCTGGCCAGACAAATGTATTCTAGTAATCCAGGTAAGTAGTTGAAAACAGGAGATTTTATTTGCAAATATCCCCATGTATTGGCCCATTTTCTTGGGTGGGAGAACAAGAAAGGAATTCTCTGACTATAAGTAATGAAAACAACCTGCTAGACCAACCAAGAGCAGTCTCCGTAGTCTGAGAAGACAAGCAGGAATTGAGCAAGATTAGTGGTTAGGAGTGTTCTACCTTGCCTGGCATTCTATGGCATTAATAGAAAATTCTTCTTCCCACCCCTCCCCGCCTTGAAATCTTTTTTAGGACGTTGGTTCCTGCAAACAAGAACTGACCCTCTGCCTCCCAGTGGGTAAATGTGTCGCACATCTCTTGAAAGGGAACATATCCATGTCATTTACTTTACAGCAGAAGAATGGGGAGGAAAGAAGATAATTTGTCTTAATATCCTTTGTGTCCCATTTTTTTAAAATATATTTTTACCTAGTAATTTTACTTTAATGTCTCAGCCTTCGGCAACTCTCCCTTTGTTTGCTGGCCAAAGCATTACCTCCATTTCCAAACCCATACCTGATTTCACTTCAACTGCTAACTTTTAAAAGAGGTGAATTTGCATTTACACTTAGACACTTTGTAAAAACAGGGTGAACTTAATCTAATTTTGCAGTGTTGAGCTATTGTTACAGTAGCTGCCCTAGAATTGCAGAAACAAGCTGTAAAAACCCATCCCTATCTACTTGATCCAGATATCCTGGATTTCATGAAGTTAGTCGTATAAAATTTTGTGTGCTTGAGAAAGGAAGAACTTGATTCATACAATATCCTAGAAACAACTTCTAGGTTGTCATTTTTACTGAAAGTCTTGTGCACATGTAAAGTGCCCTCTCTTGAGTTTAAGACTTGGTTAATACTTGTCTATTTTTATAAGAATGAAATTAATTGTGTCCCATCTTTGACTTAGACATTTAAATTATCAGGATCAATATGGTAGAATTAAATCATAACATTTTTAGGCTCAGAGGGGGGGTGTTATTGGCCTCTTGATAGTAAGAGAGTGAGTGAGAGAGGGTGTTTGTGTGTGTGTGTGTGTGTGTGTGTGTGTGTGTGTGTGTGTGTGTGTGTTTTGAGGGGAGTAGATTGCAAAAGCATGTATGTGCTTACAAACCAAGCTGTAGAGATCACAAAGAATTTGGGTGTTGCTCTGGAGATTTCTGAGCTATGGAGAGTGATACAGCCTTGTGCGATGTAGCTCACACAGCTGTTGGTGTGGAGTAATAGTTAACGATGAACTGATAGATGTTTCCAGAGGATTGTGTTCTTAAACTTTGGGGTTTGCTTTTTTAACTGCCTCTCAGATTATATTTAGTAGTTGAAATTTCTTTGTTTTATTATTTCATTAAAGTATAAAAACTTCAGGTCTCATATTTATTTTCACTTGTTCTACTAATTATTTACAAGACACCTTTTGGTTGACATTTATTTTATAAATGTGTGGTATATTGAATGTCTTTAAATTTTTTTGTTTGGTTGAAATTACAGTAACTTTGATTTGCTTTACTTGGATTTTTAAATTTTATTTTAATTACACCTTTTCCATGTCAGTGCACAGCACTTGCCCAGTCCTTTGTATTCCCTTCTCTCAATTCAATAAACAGAATGAGTAATTAATTCTTGTTGTATTATATCTCAAATGACTAGTTTGCTGAACTGGTGGCCATATCTTGACCTGGAGTTTGTGAATGGAGCCTAAGGAAACAATTCTTCATGTCCATGAAGGAGGGTATTGTGCAGCCAGTCATGGATAAGGGTAGATTCCAGAACCTGTACTTAAATAGAAGTGTGTGAGACTCAACCTGGGGAAGCATGGGTTGATATCCAAACCAATTTTCAGATTTCTCATTAGAGGGAAAAACCATCAAGATAGTGGTTGTTGCCAAGCCTAATGACCCAAGTTTGAGGACTAGGACTGTTACATGAACAGAGAACCAACTCCTACAACAACCTTCTCCCCTCCCCAGAAATAAATAATAATTTAAAGGAGAAAATTTGTGTGTGTGTGCACGCATGTGCATCCTCACCCTCTGAAGCTAGAGAGGGTATAGGATCCCTGGAGGTGGAGCTACAGGAATGTGAAGCATCAGAACCTGATGGTGGGACTCAGCAGTTAAGAGCCATCTTTCCAGTCCCAGAGAATTTTTTGTTAATATCTCATAATTACATGGTATCAGCCTGCCACCTATCCAGTGCTTGGTGTTTGACCAACACAAGACCAAGCTGTATTACTCCCCGGTGATGACAGCACAACTTAGAATCAAGACCAGAGAGTTTGAGGGAATGACCACTTACCTACTTACGTGTATCTACTTGGTTACTGAGTGGTACTGATACACTGAAATACACTCAGTGCTTTGTGTATTCCAGCCCCTAGAATAAGCCACTTGATGTAATTAGAGAAGTACAATAGGTTTATATGGCAGATGGTAATTCCCAGCTTATAGATGAGGGAGAGCGGGTATGAAGCTGAGAGTCAAACCAAACCTCGAGGCTAATGTTGGCAGTCATACCATAGTCTTCCCTTAGTCTGTAGGTGGCTACTTTGGAAAAAAAATCAAAATTTGTTAAGTGTCATTAAAATTAAATGACACTTGAGATTTCAGGAGGTATCCATATAATTAAACATTCAAGTTTTCTAGAGTCTTCAGGCAAGTTACTTAATATGTGAAAGCCAGGCCACTCATCTGTGAAAGGATCCTACTGGACATTGAACTGAAAGAAAATTAAAATGTTTCTGAAGAACAGTTTAAAATTTAACGAAGGGGAAGAAGCAGACTTCAAGGCCATCCTAGTCTTATACCAAGTTCCAGGTTAGAGAGAGGACTCAGCGGTTAAGAGAACAATGGCTGCACTTCCAGAGGACCCAGGTTCAATTCTCAGCACCCACATGGCAGCTCACAACCATCTCTAACTCCAATCCCTCTTCTGACTTCTGCAGTGAAATAAAAGCTTCATAGGTATTGTCCAAATGTGTAGAGCTTGTTTAGATTGCTATGTTAACAAACCAACTGCAGAACTTTTGAGTCCTGGGGAGATTTGAGCCCTCATGGATTATTTAATACAAAGATGTGGTAAATAGTCTTAACTAGTTACTACTCAGGAGGGAGAAGTAGAAGGTTTGTGGATTTGAACCTGCCTGACCTACATAGCAAGACACCCCCCCCCCAAAAAAAAGTGATAGTTTATAGAGTGTTGGCATTATATTCGTATATGCTTTAAGATTCTAAACCTTAACATACGTGATATTGAATTGCTTCAAAGCGTGATAGGCAAGGAAGGAGGTAGGTTATCAGTACAATGTGTTGTACACATTACAAATGATAGAAAATACCGACTAAGAACATGGGGTTATCTATAGAGGCTGGAGATGGAGCTGGGTGACGTAAGCACTCGCCTAGCATTTGTGAAGCTCAGTTCCCAGCACTGAAAAACACTCACAGGGGCAATGGCTCGGCAGATAAAAGCACTTCCTTATAAGTCTGAGTTCAGTCCCCAGAACTCACATAAGAAGCTGGATATGGTGGTGCAGATCTGTAATCTTAGCAAGGTTGGGAAGCAGAGACAATGACCTGGAAGGTAGCAGGCCAGCTATCCTGGAGTACACTGGGCAGTGGCAGAAATGAGACACTCCACCTCAACAAGATGGAAGGTGAGGACTGACTCCACAAAGTTGTCCACTGAGATCTGTATCTCCTTGCCCCAGAAAAGAGATTAATTTAGAAAACCTATACGGATTTGCTACAGAGGACTTGGCTTGTCCCACAGATCTCTGTCGTCAGCAATCATAGCAGCAAATGTGTTGCCTCCGATTAAATAAGCTTCAATTCTGTTCAGTCTGTGGAATAAGCAGGCCCTGGTAGTTGAGTTCTAGAGATGTCAAGGTCGACAAGGAAGCTTCCCACAGTTGGATCATGTTCTCTCCCTTTGAGAATGATCAGTTTGAAGCAAGCTTTGGGAATGGACACACCACCTTTGCTCAGGTGCCAGCCAGGAGTCAGTAGTTCAGGGGGTAGTGGGTGTAAGTTGACATCATAGATCCTGGGGAGTCAGCTGTGAGGAAGAGATGTCAGGAGAGCCATGGAATAGTAACTCAATCTTACACCCAGGCTGGGGTGTATAGCTGTGGTAGAATACTTACCTAACGTGCAGGGCCCTGGGTTCATTTCCTACGACTGCAAAAACCAAAACTTAACCATGACCTTCCAACCTGACAGAGAGGTTCTTTCAGAAAACAGGAACTTAGCATATTTGAGGTTTTTATGTTTTCAGTTTGGGATAACTGAGATAAGGCTCAAGCAGGCCTTGAAGCAGCAGTGCCTCAGCCTCTACAGTGCTGAGGTTACAGGTGTCCACCTCCACCACTGGCTTTTCAACCAGCACACATTTTGACCAGGTTCTAATGTGTAGTGGAAACTGATACATAAACGGGACCCAAGATACAAAAATGGCATTTTAACGGATGTGGCAGAGCAGACTGACAACAGAGGAAGTCACAGTCAAACCTCTGAGCTTCAGCAAGTTGATTGTGATCCCTCACCTATCACACCCTCTTCCCCTCCCAGCCCAATGGGGAGCAGCTGAAAAGCTGTCTTTCTAAAGAGCAACATGAAAGGAGTACCAAGTTAGTGCTGTGGCTTACTGTGGTAACGACAGTTGAGGCCTTTTGTCTTATTTTATTTTATTTTATTTTATTTTATTTTATTTTATTTTATGTACACCGCTGAGCTATCTCTCTAGGACCCAGCTGAGGCTTTGAACAACCGAGTCATTAGCAGAAACTAGCCTTCTGCCTTTTAAGACATTTGAGAAAAGTGGCCTAAATCCAAAGGCTTCACTGAAAATTGGCACAGCCATATCTGAATGGAATGGCAGAAGTCATAGAGATAGCACAGCTGCTTGACAAAGATCCAGCAGAGCTGAGCCACATGATGGCTGCCATGCCACCTTTGGTTTTCATCTCTACCTGTTACATACTTGGGGGACTTTTGATATTTGTACAATTTAGGAATATTAGATTGACAGAAAAAATTTTATGAATCATTTATGCCTTCTCCCAGGAATGCTGCTTTTAAGCCCCCCCAACAGTCCTGAATATACTACCCCCCACACACACACTTTGAGGGAGATATCCTTATCTACTTGAAGGTCTTCCTTATGCCTTGGAGGTTGTGACACATAAAGAAGCCAGAGGTCTCTTCATGAGGCTATGAGACTTTCTTGAAACATGTCCCTCTACTTACACAGGAACAAGATATTCAAAACAAAATTAAAAAGGCCAACAAGATTCGGTGGGCTAGAGGAATTGGCCACAGTTCAGATTACAAGCCTCTTTCCGCTGTACACTCAGACAATTACATGGCATACAACTCTGCCCTACACAGAGACATACTGATGAGCAAAATATGGAGTGGAAAGATGATAAAAGTATGAGATGTTGGGACCTCCCTCTGTTAGAAGTTAGCCACTATAATGTCATATGACCAAGGAACAACAGAATGTCAAGATTAGACATATAGACAAATTCTATAGATATAAAGTGAACATTGATTGTATTATGCCAGAATTTTTTTAAAATTGTTTGTTTAATTTTTTTAATTTTTTCATTCTTTATGTGCAGTGGTGTTTTGCCACAGAACTGGAGTTACAAACAGTCATGAGCTGCCATGTGGGTGCTGGGAATTGAACTTGGGTCCTCTGGAAGAGCATTCAGTGCTCTTAACCACTGAGTCATCTCTCCAGCCCTATGCCAGAATTTGAATAATAACTGCAGCAGCTTTAGCCTGGGGAATTTTTCCTGGGCACTCTGACCACTAAAAGTTAATACACTGCTTGAGACATGGCAAAATGCCCAGGGTGGTTGAAGATTTTGTTTTGGTCTAGTGTCCTGGAAGCAACCAAAGCAAACAGCCTGAGCACAGGCTGTCATATGCCTCTAGATTCTTAAAAATTGGTTTATAGGGTTAATGAGTAATAATGATAACTCTTGTTTATTAATGATGTCAGAACTTGAGGGAAAATGATTGGAAATAACTCTGTTCTGTCATAGTTTATTAATCATGACAAAAAGATGAGCAAAAGAAAGTGAAGCACATGTCCAAAACCAAAAATGATATGATCTATGTGTTGGAACATCATGAATGTATCCCTGCTAACTAAATTCTGTATAAGAAATACTCTGGCTGATAGTCAGTCAGGCTACAAGATTCTCCCGACCACCATGGCCTGGCTCATTTCCTTCTCCCACTGACTCCTTACATCCTCTGCAGGACCCATCCACCGCCGGGGATGGCTCCTGGCAGAAAATCCTCAACAAGAGCCATTTTTTGAACAGCCTTGCTAACTAATTTTACATCAAAAATATTTCAATCGATTATAGTACAGGACATGTTTGGTTTAAATGACAAAACTTAGGATGTAGCTTGGTTGATACTAAGTTCTAGATCAGCCCAGGACACAGATCTTGTCTTTAAAAATAAATAAGCAGGCTAGGGAGATATCTCTGCAATTAAGAACACTGGCTGTTCTTCCAGAGGACAAGTTCAATTTTCAGTACTTGCTTGGTAACTCACAACCGGCTGTAACTCCAGTTCCAGGGGATCTGATGCCCTCTTCTG